GGCCGATTATGCTGGACTGGATTTTGCTGGATATTTAAACATTTCAACAGGATAGAACAGAATAAAAATTTTTTTTTTAATCGAACGACCCCAAACTCCCCCTTCCCCGGTCCCCACATGCGTCTTTTTTTTTTTTTAAGGTCACCAAAGAGAAAGGGTTAATAACGTGCTTCCTCTTCTTCTTCCCTTCCACCTTGTACCTCCTCGAAGTGTCGGGGGGGGGGGGGGGGGAAGATGTAATGTTTGTTGATGAGCTCTGTCAAGAGCACTATTAAGACTGATGTTTATTTCTGTAAGGCTGTTCTTAATGCTATCACTCCATATTTTCCGAGGTCTTCCACTCGCTCTATACCCGTTGTAATGTTTTAGTGTGGCTCGCTGTGGCGGATAGTACCAGGGCATTCTTGTTAGGTGTCCAAACCACTTCATTTGTTGTTCTTTGATGACCTGTAAGACTGGCTTTATTCCTAGCATTCGTCTGATTTCATGATTTCGTATTCTGTCTTTCTTTGAAACTCCTGCAGGTCTTCTAAGGCATTTCATCTCTGTTGTCACAATTTTACGTTCAATGGAGGATGTAAGTGTCCACGTTTGGCATTAATAGCACAGTGTTGGCCAAACAATAGTTCTGATAAGATTCACTTTAGTACTCCGAGGTATCTGCTTGTGTGTCAACATGAGAGATAGTTGACCCATTACTTGATTAGCTTTGGCACATCTGGAGCTAATTTCTCTGTCCAATTTTCCGTCTGATGTAAAAATTGCTCCCAAATACTTAAATTCCTCTGTTTGTCTCAGTGTGTTGTTTTTTAATTTAATTTCTAAATTGTCTTTATGTCTTCCTATCATCATTGTCTCTGTCTTCGTAGTGTTTATTATTATATTCCTCCCCTTTGTTACTAATTTTATATAAGTGGTCGTCGGCGAAAAGTAATTCTGTAATATCTTCTTCATGATTATAAAGTTCGTTTCGCTACATATGGTATCCATGTATGTTATGAAAAGAAGCGGCGATATTACACAGCCCTGACGCACACCAGAGTTCACTATAAAAGTTCTTGACAACCCTGCCTTCGATCTTATGCAGCATTTACTACGTGTGTACAGGCTTTTGCAAATATTAATGAGATGATTGCTGATTCCTTTTTTCCCCATACATTCCCACAACAAATTCCTGTCGACTATATGGAAGGCTTTATAACGTGCTAGACAGTGGTATTAGGAACCGATGCATTGCCGCCAAGGGAAAAAAAAACAATATGCTCTACTCCAGTTGAGGGGAAGAAAACCTACAATAAAAATTCTCATCAACAAATTTCAGACATTAAAAGTAATTAAAACTATGACAAGGTCTACTAATATAAGTGGCCGGCTCACAGAAAACACGGGATTTTCCCTGTTAAAACTGAGCCTGTGCTCACCCTACAGTTAAAGGTTTATAAATCAGCGTGTGTGTGTGCGATTTGTTTCCTGTTTTAAATAAACATCTTTAATATTAGTTTGACAAGCGAAGTCGGGGAAATCCGACACAAAGCAGCTGAAAACTTTAAGACTCCAGCAGACGATGATGGCCGCCCGGAAAATGGTTAGAGGATATCACTGGCACAGATCCCGGGTTGTGAGTGGCAATTTTGGACTTGTGATCTCCAAATGTGAATCTGTAGAAATACAGAGAATAACATATTACAGATGTAGTTTGTCTTTGTTCAAGATGGTCATACATGTGTTTTTGACAGGCCTACATTTGTGTTTTTGACTGTCCTTGAAATCCTTGGGTTTGATCACAAGTCATAAACACACGGAAGATCGTCAACGTGAAAGGGGGCAGGAAACAGTTACAAGAAATCATTCTTCTTGTTCACTGACTGGAAACTTCGGCGGAAAGTTCGGGTTGTTCGCCCACTTCTTGACTTTGGTCTTGTTCTAGAACCTGAGTTATGCTTGCTCACCCGTTTTACAGATCTGGCTTCTTTGTGTGCAAGCTGTTTGTCCTAGCTCTCTGGTAGATGGACACCAACTTCGATGGAAACACGGCAAATTAATAGAACTTAAAGCTGGAATATTACTTTTCAACAAAATAAGCAATGCATGTATTTAAAAGGCATATACATTGTCCGGGTTAGCTGGAGTAATTTAAAACGGCAGGGGCGTCAGGGCTGTACAGAGCGCAGGGCCTCATCAAGTCTAAACACGGTCCTGACAGAACTTGCCACTTGTGTACAGCGGCACGTAAACAACCTTTGTCCGGGTGTTATGGCGCACCGTTGGGGCTAGAACTATCTTTAGACCCATGCTGTACTTTGTGTGACAATGGTCACGTTGCGTTAAGCAGCAAACTGGCCTTATATTTCTTGAAAGGCTCAATGGTATCTTCCCAATCCCCACGTGTATCAGTCGGGGTTCTTGTACGGTAGCCTGTTAAGGCCAGAATGTTGCGGGTTGTGATTTCTTGTGGTTGGCTGGCTGATTTCCGGTTCCCTGGGGTCAACAGAATTGGTTCCTGTGTCGTTGTGTCCTGCCATTGATGTGTTTAAATTTTATGTTTGCAGAATTGTATGCAGTGTGTGTGTGTGTGTGTGTGTGTGTGTGAGTGTGTGTGCTGTGTGTGTGTGAGTGTGTGTGCTGTGTGTGTGTGTGTGTGTGAGTGAGAGAGAGAGAGAGAGAGA